TCCACCCAAGTTCAGCGTTTTCCTTCATCTACATGACGTAAGGAATTTAGACTTGGGCTTGCAGGCTGTAATGTTTTTCCTAATTCTTAGTGTACTGTAATTTAGCCATACCCGATTTAAGACAGCAATCAAAAAATGGTTCATCTTAACACATTTCTGAAAATGGAAGGAAATAATAAGAAATAAAGGGAGAGGTAGAATATCTGAACCTGAAATCTAGAAAACTTTCATGTTACAATTTTGAAGGATGTTTCCAAATTATACACATACAACCTCCCAAGCAAACCCAAAATACAGCTGTCTCTTCTATCACCTGTAGAGAAGGAATGCTCTGAAACTAGGACTGCTTCAGATACTGGTCTCACTACTTGCTGTGGTTTGAGCTATTGGTTGTGTAAGGGAAGGAGTTTAGTGATGCAGCTGTTCCTTGGCAATTAATCTCTGTTAAAATAATGCTTGTGTATCTCTGAAGTATTTAGACGCAGGAAAAAGGAGAAATTCTGTCATTGTGATTTCAGCCTTTATTGGTGAACTTGGTTAGTTTACAAGACTACATCTAATTTATTATATATATTTTATATATACATTGGATAGTAGGGGGGGTTTGTATTAGGGTAAGAAGTATTTTTTTACATTTGTGTTAATTGATAAATAACTCTTGGTAACCATTAAAGTACATAGCTAACTGTAATCTTTTCTATTTATATAGAGGCTTTTATAGGCTACGGTCTGGCAATACTTATGTAATTAACTTCTCAGTTTATGGGTAGAAATGAGAACAATAAATAGTTCATAACATTAGATAGGAGCTTGGTCAGATTTTTGACAAATGCATGTCATTATTAATATTTCTGTGACAAATTTTATTATTAATGTTGTTTTGGGTCTTGATTGCATATGAAAAAAAACCCCAATCCCTACTGCTGAATGCTAATAGATCACAGCCCTTTATAAACCCCAGAGGAACACAAAGGGAGTAAAAAATGTTTGCTTGCTTGTTTGTGTTTTCTCTTGGTCTGCTGCCATGTCCAGCATCAAGTAGCACTTCTGCTTTGTCTTCTCTCTGTCACATCAGTATGGCAACCGAACAGGCAAACGTGACTAGAGGCCAGGGAGATACAGCAATGTGTGGTGGTTGCAAAGGATTTATCAGACCCCTTTTCCCCCCAGCTGAACTGCTTAAGGTTACAGCAGGAGATTCTAAATATCGATGAGGAAAAACTGTTAAGGGTTCAGGATCTGATGACATCATTTACCAAACTAGCAGTGCAGGGTGATGCTTAATTGTATGGTGAACTCCAATTCAGGTGCCATGAAGACAGTATGAGTATTTTGGGATAGTGTGAGGGCAGATTATTAGGTCTTAATAGGCCTTTTTCCTCCCATAGGAGAGCTTGCCTGCAGGGCTGCTGCAGTGGTAGCAGATCTTGGGGGAGAGAGTAATTAGTGCACCTATCTGTAGAAAGCTCTCTAGAGTGACTAAAGGAAAAGCAGTTTATTGATAATGGTGGATCCAGGACGCATTTGCAATGTGCAAAGTGTTCTACACCAGTGTCTAATTTCCTTGCATACTACAAAGGGCCTTTAACTGTTTTATGTCCACCTCTCTAGATCTGTTTGTAAAAACATGCCTTTAAACTTTTTGTATGAGTTCACTTGATACTTTATTGGTATAAAGATCCACTCTCCCTTGCCCTCTGTATGTTTTTTGTGTTGATGTGACTCCTACCTTAAAAAAGAAAGGTACAGGTGCGTATAAATATACACAAGATGCTTTAAGTTAACAGGTCCTTAAAAAGAAATTATTTTGTAGGATCGTGGTGTTGGATGGATTTAACTGCTGTGAAGTGTGCTGCATGTGAGTGCTTTTCATTGCCAGTGGCTGCCCAAGATGCTGGCTGTGGAAAGGTTGTGTGCTATTTGCCAGTAGCTTTAACTTGCTGGTTCTGAGGAACAGGGTGGTAGTAACTATTCACCTGCCTGATGTTCTGGTGAAAGGGCATGGCAGTGACATGCTCCTGTGCAGGACTGAGATTTGAGTTGTTATTTTATTAATACGGAATCACAGAAAGGTGGGGGTTTGAAGGGACCTCCGAAGATCATTTGGTCCAACCCCTCTGCTAGAGCAGGATCACACAGGAAGGCGTCCAGGCGGGTTTTGAATGTCTCCAGAGAAGGAGACTCCACAACCTCTCTGGGCAGCCTGGTCCAGTGCTCCGTAACCTCATAGTAAAAAGTTTTTCCTTATGTTTAAGTGTAACCTCCTGTGTTCCAGTTTGTGACCATTGCCACTTGTGCTGTTGCTGGGCACAACAGTGAAGAGTCTGGTCCCATCCTCCTGACACTCCTCCTTTAGATGTTTATAAGCATTAATGAGATCCTCATATGGTAGTATGTGGTGTGCTGGGACTCCAACCTTGAATGCTAGCTCACTCTTCTAGAGGGTCAAAACTCAGAGTAGCAAAAGGCTTTTATGAGAGCTGACTTTCTCTACAAGACCTTATCTAGCTCTTGAATTCAAAGATTTGCTTTCAACTGCCTTGTATTGGCACAGAAAAGCCTCAGGTGCTAAAAGTCTTTGAGAACTGAAGTACTTTGGCTGTAGTGTATAATGTGATGTCCCGAAATCTTTCAAGTGCAAGTAATAATGGATAGCAAATTGTGAGTGCCTGCAGCCCCTCCTTGGGAAGACTATGTATTTCTAACTGCTACTGAGCTAGGAGTATAAATCACACTACACATAAGTATGTGTGTGGTTCCATGAGGGAATAGAGCTGTGCTTGTCATGCTCGAAAGGGGACAGTCACTTTCCTGTCTTTGGAGCTTTGTTCCCCCTTGGCCATGGCTGGTAAGTTTTATCTGACTTAGGTGAATATAGTATCTGAACTAGAAGATCTTAAGGAGAGCACCTTGGTGGAGTCAATGGATTATTTGAACAGTATTCAGCAGTTCAAACGTAAAAGAGCCTGAGGGTTTTTTTCCTCTTCTGAATGTGTTGTGTTTGTTTCATTATCACTAGATGTCCATTAAGTACTTTCTGTTCCTCTATTTGCTTATGGTAAGCAGCTACTCCTGAATAAATTAGGACAGGCAATATAGAGGATAGGATTATGTTGGCATGTGATTGTTGACTCACTTTCCAAAGAAAGAATGGGCTCAATTGTGTAATCCTTTTTTTCTTCATTCTAGCACATCAGTTCACTATGTTATTGTTTTTATTGCAGTCTGCTAAGTTTGTAGAACAAGTGACTTCTTTGAATGTCAATGCTGACTTATTTTGTAGCATCACACAGTAAAAAGTGGCTTTTTTTAAATGATGAACTCTGGTATTTTGAACACTGCCTATTCGAAAAAGTCCTGTCTGTATACAGTGTGGTGAAACACTAAGCCAGCAGTGAAATTCTTGTGTGTAGGTGTGTGTGTTAGGTGTGTTTCTCCACACCCCCTTATTTCAAACAGTGTGATCAGAATGCAAATAAAAGAGAAATCCTCACTTCAGAGGGAAGGTGGGTGTGTGGCTGATGTAATGCTTACAAGGTGATACCACCCAATGGCCAGTGTACTAAATTTCAGACCGTATTTAAGACTTTCTTGGGCCATGTTCTCATGTTAAGTGTGAAATATTTGGGTGGGGAAGCATAGAGTAAATATTGAGGAATTTTCTATTATTATTATTTGTAGCAAGAGAAGCTTTCAGACCTATAAAAATGAGCCACAAAAAAAGAAACAAAAATTACTGCAAAATCTGCACTCCACAGTACAAGAAACTATAGGATTAAATTTCTACAAGGGAGATTTAAATCGGGCACTAGGAGAGCTGAACACTGCGATAGGTTGCATGAGGAAGTTTGAGGAGATGATTTTCCAGGCTGTGTAATGATGTTTGGAAGGTAAGCATGGCCAGAATGGTTAGGTACAACTGGAATAGAGGCAGCAGAGGTGGGACTCAGTGTAACTGAATTCACTGTTTAGTAGAAATCCTTTGAAAGAAATTGGGACTGAAGAAGCTCAGATGGCTAGTGAATAATTCTGACAAGTTTCATCTTTAGAGTAGGCTGAAACTGTGGTCACTTCATTGCAGCAAAACTAAGTTTTGGATTGTATTGATATAATTTTTTTCCTTCCAAATTAAAGTGTTAAACTCCATAATACAATATTTCTAGAGCTGGCAAGTATTAGGACAGGAGTTGTTAGTAATATTAAACCAGTTTCACTACAAGTTGACTATCATCTGTCTCCTCAATGTCCCAGATAGCCTCCTAAATATCTGATGTAGTATGTCCAGTTCTGGGCTTCCCAGTGCAAGAGAGCAGTGGAACCACTGAAGAGAGTCCAGCAGAAGGCCGCTAAGATGATGAAGGGCCTGGAGGATCTTTCCTGTGAAGAAAAGCTGAGAAAGCTGGGACCGTCTAGCTTGGAGAAGAGAAGGCTCAGGGCATCTCATTAGTGTATACAAACACCTGAAGGGGAAGGTGGAGACAAGCATCAGTGGTACTCAGTACCAGGACCAGAGGCAGTGGGTACAAACTGGAACACAGGAGGGTCCCTCTGAACATCAGGAAACACTTCCTTACGGTGAGGGTGACTGAGCACTGGCAGATGTTGCCCAGAAGGCTTGTGAAGTCTCCTTCCTTGGAGATACTAAAAAACCATCTGGGCAGCCTGCTCTAGGTGGCCCTGCTTGAGCAGGGGGGAAAGTGTCAAATGACCTTCAGAGGTCCCTGCCAGGCTCAACCATTCTGTGGATCTCCTCCAAATCAGATTAGTAGCACTTAAAACAGTCCTGTTCAAGCACTGACTTCACTATGAAGTCATATCCTTCCCTTTTGATTTTGATGCCGTCACTAAACACCTCATACATCAACCCTCTTATTTCCTCAGTTGCTCCAAAATCAGTGAAAGTGTATGCATTTTCTTCTTGAGACACCTAGCAGTCACAGTGACATGGTTACAGCATTATCTTTGCAGAACAGGATCTTTACTGTACCTTTCCTTTCCAGGTGGTTGGAGGCAAGGTGAAGAAACCAGGCAAGCGAGGTCGTAAACCAGCCAAAATAGACTTGAAGGCAAAACTTGAAAGAAGTCGTCAGAGTGCAAGAGAGTGCAGAGCCAGGAAGAAGCTGAGGTACCAGTACCTGGAAGAGCTGGTTTCAAGCAGAGAGCGAGCCATCTGTGCTCTCAGAGAAGAGCTTGACATGGTAATAAACTATCACTTAACCTAGCCCGCAATATTACTGTACGCAGCACTGGTGAGGCCACACCTCAAATACTGCATTGAATTTTGGGCCCCTCACTCAAGAAGGACATTGAAGCACTGGAGCGTGTCCAGAGAAGGGCAGCAAAGCTGATGAGGGATCTGGAGCACAAGTCTTATGGGGAGCGGCTGAGGGAACTGGGGTTGTTTAGTTTGGAAAAGAGGAGGCTGAGGGGAAACTTTGGTGCTCTCTACAGCTACCTTAAGGAGGTTGTAGCCAGGTGGGTGACGGTCTCTTCTCCCAAGTAACAAGTGCTAGGATGAGAGGAAGTGTCCTGAAGTTATGCCAGGGGAGGTTTAGATTAGATATTAGGAAAAATGTCTTCCCTGAAAGGGTTATTAGGCATTGGAACAGGCTGCTCAGGGAAGTGGAGTCACCATCCCTAAAGGCATTTAAATGACAAGTAGATGAGGTGCTTAGAGACATGGTTTAGTAGTGGACAGGTTATAGTTGGACTCAATCATCCTAAAGGCCCTTTCCAACCAAATTATTTTATTATTCTGTGGGACCTGTCCTTGTGGACATTTGTTCTCAAAATCACTGTGACTGAGAGTGGGATTTAGCTAGCCGTAAGGTTATCAGAAGATCAGTAACAGATGCATTCAGCTGTTTGCCTACTTTGCATGTAGAGTATGAACCTCATGTCACAAGTTTTCTGCTCATTTTGAGCAGGAAGCAAGCAAAGAAAGTGCCATTGCCTATGAGTCTGTTTTCTTTGAAAAGTTTGTTTTGAAAAACCCCTGACAGAGGTAGAGAATGGAAAGAAATGTATTCAAATATCATGGGGAAACATAGAGCCACAGTGTGTTATTGCTTCCCGCAACCCTTGTCTCTGCTGGGGATGTTGATTTTTTGCAGCATTCTCTCTGTGTAGATGGTTGCACAGCTGTCCTGTGTTCCAGCACGTATAAGATGGCTGTCTTGGCCAAATAAGCTGCATTAACTGAAGAGTGTTTCATCTGGAAATACAGACTTAGCTCCTCCTCAGTGATACGAGATGCCATTGAAACTTCCCTGGAACTGAGGATATGGCCTTGACCTTGCATTAGGTTTATTTGAACAAGCAGGGCTAATCACCATAAGTGAATAGGGTTAGGGTGGAAAGTCAGCCAGCCGACCACAGGTTTTTCAGTGTGCTTCAGGGTTTGCCAATGAAGAATCTAAGATGAGGGAACTAGGAATAAGGCACATGTGCTGTAGCCGTGCCTTGCACAATCAGAAAGGACCTCTTAATCAGCCCCAGAGTCATGTGAAATATTTGGTTTTAATAAGCCATGAACTGGAACGGTATTCTGGCACGCCAGCAGCGAGAAAATGCACAAAGTGTTCCATGTTGTTTAATAATTACAGTATTGTGTCTAGTACTGCCACTGAGTAGCAGTTTATTGACTGAACCAGGATTTACTGAGGCCAGGTATGCAACCATGGACACGTGCTTAGCTCATTAGTGCTCTGCAGTTTTGTAAGAGGCTTCAGCCCAGTAAATTCAAACCTTAAATGAATATACCAGAAGGTAAAGATTACAGCTCTGTTTTGTCTGCTAATGTGATCCTGGCAGTTTGCTAATGCCTAATGTGTTTGCATGTTTCAGTACAAGCAGTGGTGTGTGGCGATGGACCAAGGGAAAATCCCCTCTGAAATAAAAGCCCTGCTAACTGGGGAGGAGCAGGGCAAAGCACAGCAGAATTCAACCAAACTCGCCAAGGCTGGGAAGACAGAAGCAAACAGCAGCAATCCCTGTGAGTATCCAGCCTATGATTAATTCCTATTTGGTTACATCTTTTGTGGCGTAGGAGGATGGCTGTGGTGTGGGAAGAAACATGAGGATGTGCTTTTGGGCACAAATAGTTGATTGAAGCAAAGAGCTTAGTGGGTGGTACAAAGACTCTGTGTAATGTTTACATGGACAACACAGAAATTACACTAGCTAGGAAGCTGGGCAGCTATTTTAAAAGAAGACACAATCTTCGTGTTTTACCAAGGCCTGTGGAAACCTGTGAAGACCTGAGACCTTAGTCTTTTACAGCATTTTCTAACATTTTCGTTGTTTTCCTAATGCAAGGTAAATGAAGCATAATTGAATTTTAAAAACTCCATCAAGAAAACATTATTCTAGCTGCAAGCACTCAAAAGTGAGAACTGCTGAGTCTTCTTTCTGCCTTGTTTGTGCTTGTCCAGGGAATGAACTAAGGTTCTTCTGGGGATTGAAAGGTGAAAAGATCATGTGATATAAAGTCATATTCCGATACATACATGCCACGGAACAGAGTTAAGGTGTAGTATGGGCTATTTTATGTCTTGCATCTTCTAATTTTGAAGTATTTCATGCTACAGATTAAATCACACTTTACTGTATTTTTTTTAAATATGAATTCCTAGCTTTGTTTTTAAGAAATGACATGAAAACTACATTTGTAACTGTAACAATCTTCCCCCATGGTGCATCATTCGCAGGAGGCCAATGCAGAACCTTCGGCACTGCAGCAGAGGTAGCTCGGTAGCTAGCAGAAGAATGCTGTTGTCAGAGAAGTGGATGCATCCCTGGGTGCAGGGGGAAGATCCCAGTCCGCTGTCTTCTCTTTGCTCCTCCCCACATGAAACTCTTTGCCTGTGGTGTTCCTGAGCCTGTATCGAGTGGGGTTTGGGGGTAATAGGTGTTTGTGTAAGCAGAGCCTTGTTCTTCCATTCTTTACACCACCCTTCCCAAATACGGCTATGGCAGCTTTTGGGCATTCCCACTAAGAGACGGGCTGCTCTTGTGTCAGAGCCCTGAATTAGGCTGACTTTGTGGTCAGTAGTTATATGGGTGGTAATCGCTGTGAGAGTCTGAGAGGTTCTGTAAAATAAAAGCAAGAGGAGGATCTCATAACGGCTTTGCTAAACCGAATAGAGTACTGTAGGTCATGGAGAAGGAACTGGATCAAAAGCTTCCAGTAAGAAGGTTTATAGTGATGTAATTTGTCACCTAAATAAAGATGTTGCTTTCAGCATCCTTTTATAATGCAGCATGTATTTTATGTTATTTGGACTCTTAAAGAGAGGTACTAGATATATCCCCTGCTTCTGTCCATATTTCTTTTGCAGGGTGTATTTTTTGCCCCTCATGGTCTCAGTAAGATAGTCCAAGTGTAAGATAGTCAAAGCACGTCCTTCCACCTTGCTCCCAGCAGTGGAACAACGGCCATCTGCTTCCACCCATCGTGCCCTACTGTCTTTATGTGTCTTCCTACACTTTAGGCCATAAAATCTTTCCATGAGTTTTGCTGTGCTCTCCTGGTTCCTCAGCCAAAGATAAGGCCAAGAACTGGGTAGCAAGGAAAACAAATTGCATCAGTTTGGCTTTATGCTAGGAGAGGTAATGGCAAAAGTCTTACAGGCTGATTTACTCATCCCAGATACTGACAGATAACATGCCACTTTTCCTAGACCACTCTTTCTCCTGTATGTGCTTTTTGCATTTATATGATGCAACGTGGAGAGTGGAGCTCTTGGGACTTTCAGTGGGGGTTTTGCTTACTTATTCTCTTTTGTTCATGACAATGTCTTTCTCTGTATTTTATGGAATGCATGGAATGTTTTTTAATCTTATGTTTTCTTCTTTGTTTCATAGAATAAATATTATAATGAATGACTTTGCTAGACTGAATGTTGCCTTCTTTCTTTTGAACTATTTGGGTCTGTTTAGCATTATCTCAATTTGGGATTAGCCAGAAGCACTGAAAATAATAAAGTGCCATATTTCAGTGTACAGCACAGCTGTTTTCAAAATTCCATTCTGAGCACTCATATACTAATCCTTAAGGCATCTTTTAAAGCTTATTCTCTAGACCCTCCACACATGTACTTACTTAGCAATTGCCAGAGATGTTGCATAGACATGGAAAACTATTATGAAAGGTTAAGTAACACTGAAGCAGAGATGGGGAGGATATGAGGATTCCCCCCCACCCTGTATTTTAAGCACTGAAGTTTGTCCTGAAAGATAGCAACAAAGCAAACCTGTAAGTTTTGGGATTTTTGTCTGTGTTGAATGCTTGCCTGTCCTTTTTCTGCATTCTCTGGAGGACAAAAAACACCTAGGCCAGATGTCCAGAACTATACTCTCTGAACCTTTCAATTGGATTTTTTTTTTTAATACGATCATGCCAGAAGTGTAATGCAGTATTTTTGGTTAGAATTAGACTTACACAGTTGATTTTCAAGTGTAAACTATGTACTGCAATTAAACTTGTATTTCAAAGGTTATGTGTATACTTAAGCGTCTTTCAAAATCAGGAATGTAGAAAAGACACAGAGGACCTACATTCAGTGTGACCAGAACAGCTCTACTCTGCACAAACACAGCTTATGTGAAAAACACAGCTCTGATCTCACCAGAAATACCCCACTTACTCTCTTCCCTCTGCTCTTTCTTTGTTTTACTTTCTGTGACGCCAAGCAAGAAACTTCTTGGGAGAAAAGTTGTAATTTGATGGAGGAAATGAGGAGTTGGAGTTTCTCATTGTGATGGGCAGTGGTTTTCATCTGTTCCTCATCACTGTGGCTCCTGCTTCCTCAGCCAGCAGCTGGCATTACAAGATTGTGTTTGGCAAGCCTGGGCCCAGCTCTGTGGCACAAATAGTGGCATCCTTGTTCTAACAGGTTTTTTTGTGCTTTGTGCAGATGACACAGGAGGCATGTTACAGCCTCCATCATCTTTAACTGTTTCCATGTTTGTCCTGCAAGCCAAAATAAATGTGACACAGAGTTAGAGGCTCTCACTGCAATCTTCCAACCTGCTGTAGATGCTGTAGTTCATGACAAAATGTAGGATTGGCAGCAACAATAATGCAGTAGATAAAGTTTTATGGCTTCCATCACATGGCAGATCATCATAAATGTTCTGGGCTTAGATGGATCTCTGGGAGTCCTTTATTTTGGAGTTTGAAGTTCACCAGTTCCCCTTGAAAACTAGCAGGTTTTGTGTTTGTGATTCATGTTTTTTGGTACTCTAATGGTTACAGTCTTCATTCACATTGAGGTGGCTCCTGGAAGTGGTACAACGAGGTCCTCTGACTAGGAGTCTCAAATAGTACCCTAAGTAACAGAGGATGGCTTAGTCTTACCCTCTCCTTGTGTAAGATGGGCACAGCCTTCCACCCATCTCTCCTGCAGTGAGTGCGTGCAGCTGGTTCTTTCTCATAAACATTGAAGAAAGGAAATAAGCCTGGAAATGTGTTATTTTCTCATTTGCCATGGAAATCTAATTGTCAGCTAGAACTATTTGCTTTGCTAAAGGTGGGTATCTCTTGAAAACTATCCACAGTCTTCAAAAGATGCTGTTGATAGTATTTAGTGTTTATAAAAGTGCTAGGAATCTGCCACAGTAAGGTGGAGTAAGACTGCACTTGGTGCTGATGTACAGCATCTGTAGAGTTGCACTAATCCTTTTTGAGAATTTAACCCAGGAATTGACCAGATAGCAAAAAGTTTGTAAGAAAAAGATGTAATGTCTTGTCTTTTTAATCCCAAATACATGCTTGGGGCATAGAATCCTGAAAAAACAAAGTTGATACATTTATTAGATTTGTCACTTAACTGAGAACATTTCGTAATTATATGTGTTTAAAAAAATAAAAATAATCATGGTTACTTTTGTAATCTGATAATAATAAGTATTTGTCAAAGAACCTTCATTCTATTAAGTGCTTCTCAAAATTCTATTATAACTTACAGCAGGGGTGTTTGGTTGTGGGTTATTTAATGTATTAGTTACATTTCAAAAAGCTTTTCTCTTTCTTGACAGCCAAAACCATGACTAGCTTTGGGAGAGTGCTTGTGGCTGACCTGTTTTTCCATTTATTCTTTTTTTACATTTTAGGGTGAAGATTAATCTACATCAGTAACGAATCTAGTTCTTCCTGGAATCCGTGGAGAGATGGAGAAGATTTGGCATCATAGTCCCATTTGTTATTTTCTAATAAATTATTCTCTCTGCAGTTAGCTATAAAATTACTGTTAATAAAAGGACCAAATGTGGACCAAATGTTTTAGACTAGTCTAAAAATGTAGAGGAATCAAGAGGAAAAACCGAAATAAGAACCCTAGTCCTTTATAGTAAGGATGAGTGACAGAGAACTGGCTGAGGTAGAAATCCCTACAGTAGATAGGGAAGTCAAACCACCAGCTTCTGAGTGTCCTGCTGTTAGTGCCACTGAGCATTGATTTCTCTCCAAGTTTTGTCAATAACTGACTTTCTTGTATGACCCTGTTGTGTATTTGTATGAGAAAACAGATGCTTCTAATCCATGGTAAAATCTGAGGTATCCCATACTGAGCAGTGCATCAGTGGACCAAAATTCAATTTATGGAATGTATAGGTGTGTGTATGTAGATATAGAAGTAGGATTTGCAATGTCAGTTAGAGCCATTGCCTTAAGCAATTTCTGCAAGGGCTGCTGCTTGATACTATTTATAACATTATTTATATTTTCTTCTATCTTACTCATTTTAAATTGTAACTAGAAAATGCTGTCATTGTTCAGCTAATGATTTTCAGCAGCATATCATTAAAAATACCCAAACTCTAAATAACTGGCTTTCAGTTTCTTTTTTTCCTCCATAAAAAGCACCTGGGAGGTGGAAATTTTACTTCTCTAACTAGTGCAAGGTTAGCCCTGCTTTTTTGTGTGTCTGCCTGTAACTCACAGGTGGCTTAATTAATGCTACTAACAGTACCTGCTGCTTCAAGCAATTCTTGCGTGTGATCTCTATAGATTAGGGTAGGTAATGGTGGTATTAGCATAGAACTATGCTGTAGCTGATTGGTGCTCTGATGATGAAATAAATTTCATCAGTAGTAGAAGTGTAGTAGTAGTAGTAAATTTCATCTTTAGTAGAAGACTAAAAGCGGGTTATAAAATGTGTCTTTTCGTGAGACAGGGTGTTCAATGTGAATAAAAATGGCTTGCTATGAAAGGTGACTTTTTCCACACCTTTGTGGTGCCTTTCAAAATACATTTTGATTAACTTATATGGTACTGGCGACAGCAGTGCTGCATATTCCTGTGGTAGGGCATACCAGCACTGGCCTCCAGCTTCACCGTGTCCTTATGTGGCATTCTCTGAATGCTTGCTGATGCAAAAATAAATCTTTCCTGCTCGCTATCGAGCATAGATCCTGCCGTGTTGCTAGGTCAGTGTTGTCTGTTTTGCGTTTCTGGGCTTTTTATTTTTTCCACTCCTGTAAACAGTACTTTGACATCTCCCACTTTTCAGCATGCGTTCCTCTACAGAAAAAGCATCTTCTGTGAATCTCCTTTCTTCCCTAAGTGGTCTGGCAGCTATCTTCAAAGCCTGTCAAAGGTTCCTTTTCCAGAGGACTACACAAAAGCATGAGTTATTATCCTGTTTCTCCCTGCACACACGCTGTACCACACCCACTGACTCATGCTGAATAACCCTTCTGCATTTTAAGCTCTTGGTAACATCAGAATAAGTACCCCTTCTGCGTTGCAAGCTCATCACCCTTTGTAGCTCAGGACTCACGTCTCATTTCTCTGCATAGCCTAGCGGAAGCAGCACTGACACCAGCTCAGCCCAGGGTGGCTTTTCGCTTGTTCAAGTGTTGTTCTGTCTATCTGTGCCATCAGGGGAAGCACTGTTGGCAGGTAGAGGCAGCAGGCAGAAATGACGGTGATGTTCAGCTGTAGATGTAGGGTGTATGTTGAAGCGCTTCTGCGACTCACAAAATCGGAAGTTTTCTTTCACTTGAAATGTTGAGATTTAGATTATGTTACTTGTATTTCTATAAATTCCAGGTTGCCCAGCATTTTCACTGGTGATGGTGTTTTCAAACAAAAGGCTAAGTTCAGCTGGGGTTTAGGTACCTGAAACACTCTGTGGAGCTGT